AAAAACCTTTTGAATATTTTTGGAAGTTAGTGACTGATATATGTAGAGAATATACATAGCTAATAAGCAAAATTAAAATACTGATACTTACAGGGTGATTCATACTTTCACATACCTGTTTTGGAAAAAGTATGTATTTTTACAATACAAAAATAGCATGAAATGTCATTAAAAAAAATCACCGTCAATATTTCTCAATATTAGATATAGTGTAGATCTCGATGTCCTCGTTCAAAATTCTTATTGGTAAAATTAGATCCTATGGCTAGTTTTCGAAAAAATTAAACGTTTAGTCTATAAAATATCAATTTTTAATAATAAATAATAATCACGAAATAAGAGAAATACCGTAAACTAAATATTTTTACACACTGTGTTGCATTATATTGTACCTTTGCATTATTTGGAGACAAAATAAAAGAATCATACTTACAGGGTGATCTCACTTGAGCTTGTAAAAGGTCAAAATGAACAAATCAAAATAAAAGCTGCCAAAAATAGAAATTGGTTAGCTATTTTTTTTGTAATAAATCGTTTTTAAATCAGGTTTTGGTAGTTTTACGTATGATGCACAAAACCTCATACTGGGTCATTTAATATTACGATAGATGCATAACGGACTTACTAGAAAACTGTAGAGCATTTACATATTTTAGTTTTTTATTGAACCGATATTTCAGATTTTAAGCTCGTTTCCACACCACCCGTGAGGTAGAGCCATGGGCGCGTTTTGTTTTAAGTGGTATCCCCTTTAGGCCTATTCCACTGATCGTTTTGTAGAATTATTATATTATGTTCATTGCTATTGTTGAAGTTATGGACAAAAGTGTAGGTACTTTATAAGGTCATTATGTGCGACAATAACAAGCATATATTAAATTAATGAAGGTGTCCAAATAAAGAGTAAATTAAGGTATTAAAATTGAGAAGTCCAAATTACAGGTACATTAAGTTATTAAAAGTAGAATGTTTAATGATCGTTGAAGTTTAATTATTCTTTTCTATTATGGGACCGAGATCGATATTTTCTGGTAGCAATCGGTGCACTGCATCGTCTACACAATTAAGAAGACGTGTTTGTGGAAATTTAATATTATTGTGGTGTCTAGCATATCCAAAAAACCATAAAATTGTTGCAATATGTGCGCAAGTACTTAAAGTTCTCGTACCGGATGGACATGGCAGCATGAGTCGTGGATATCCGTCCATTAAAAAACTTGAAAATAGACTTAAAATGTCCATTTCTAGCTTCTACAACCCAACGCGTTTCGGTTATGAGTCTTGCTCTATTAGCTTCACTAGTAGATAATTAACGTTGGTTGCGACAATGCAAAGGGGCATATAAGAAATAAGACCTAATTCTTCAAATGTAGGAATGGCATCTCTGTAGCCTCTATCTACTATTACTATATCTCCCTCTTCAAACCAGTTTCTCATTCCATTAACGTCATTCCTGTCATTCTCTAAATCGTGCCGTAAAATTGCTGCATCATTGTTTCGTGCATCAGAAAAATAGGGACCGTTGACTGATAAAATGTATCCATCAGGAGCTACTATAATTTCTGGCTTAACTAAATGTTCCTTCTTAAAAGAGCAATAGGACTGACGTAATATTCTAAAATTGCTGCTCCTTTCAATGGAGTTATATGTACAGTCTACATAAATTATAGCCTTTGGATCATCTGATGTAGGGTTATAAAGCTTGTTTACAAATTGAGGTATATGATTTATTATATAATTGTCTCTGGTTATTGATCTGAATCCAATATTGTTAGGCACAAATCTTTGCAGCAAAGACAGACGGACATTAGACATTATTAAACTAGTGACTTGTCTCGAAGAATAATTAAAAAGTAATTTTATAAATTCATCTGATAATCCATGCCTTAGCTTAACAAGAAAAGCAAGTAAATCTTTTTGTCCAATATTTCGCCTGTTACCATATTGATCAATTGGTTCACACAACTCATACAGTTCTTGAAAATTTTCATTAGAAATTGACGTTAAATATTTAAATTCCTCTAAACTAAAAGTACCTATATCTTCCCAATTTGTTACATGAATATTTGAATTAGCAGCAGTTCTTAAACGAGAAAAATGACTGAATATTATTTAGAATATAAGGCCTATTAACAAAACCAAGCCACCATGTAAATTAAGCATTAGGATACCTGAATGATCTAAATGAATTTCACATATTTTCAAATGTTCAGGTACATAAATATTAGATACTAGAAAAATATTTGCTCTACATTTTGCCGATATTTTTCTTACATTACCTTGCACATTGCATACTGTGCAACCACGTACTGAATAGGGTGTTCAAACGTTAAGTCTAAGGCAATTTGGATTGTTTTCAATATGTCTTAGGTCCTCTGCAATTCCATGAAAACAATTTAAACATGACCTTACTTCTTCTAGATTTTCGACAGCAAGAAATCCAGCAGCTTGTCTTCTATAAGTAGCCATGAAAAGTCGAACTTGAAAGTTTCTATTACAAACATAACAATTTATTCTATTTGCAAATGCCATATTAGCAACAATATTTAGTTGAAAGACTACAATTTTAAATTAAACAATTTAATAGCACGTATTATAAAAAACCACAAATGACATTTATTATAAAAAAAAATGAAAAACCCTGTATATATTTGCAGTCTAAGAAGTTTAGACGTTTAATAGAAACTATATTTTATTGTTAAATTCTTAATATTGGAATTACCTCGGAATATTTTATATAGGTATATTTATCTAGTATGCTATGATAAAATTATTTCACAATAAATGTAGGTACATCTATCTGTCATTCATTTTTATAATAAATGTCATTTGTAGTTTTTTATAATACGTGCTATTAAATTGCTGCAAAGATTTGTGCCTAATAATATTGGATTCAGATCAATAACCAGAGACAATTATATAATAAATCATATACCTCAATTTGTAAACAAGCTTTATAACCCCAAATCAGATGATCCAAAGGCTATAATTTATGTAGACTGTACATATAACTCCATTGAAAGGAGCAGCAATTTTAGAATATTACGTCAGTCCTATTGCTCTTTTAAGAAGGAACATTTAGTTAAGCCAGAAATTATAGTAGCTCCTGATGGATACATTTTATCAGTCAACGGTCCCTATTTTTCTGATGCACGAAACAATGATGCAGCAATTTTACGGCACGATTTAGAGAATGACAGGAATGACGTTAATGGAATGAGAAACTGGTTTGAAGAGGGAGATATAGTAATAGTAGATAGAGGCTACAGAGATGCCATTCCTACATTTGAAGAATTAGGTCTCATTTCTTATATGCCCCTTTGCATTGTCGCAACCAACGTTAATTATCTACTAGTGAAGCTAATAGAGCAAGACTCATAACCGAAACGCGTTGGGTTGTAGAAGCTAGAAATGGACATTTTAAGTCTATTTTCAAGTTTTTTAATGGACGGATATCCACGACTCATGCTGCCATGTCCATCCGGTACGAGAACTTTAAGTACTTGCGCACATATTGCAACAATTTTATGGTTTTTTGGATATGCTAGACACCACAATAATATTAAATTTCCACAAACACGTCTTCTTAATTGTGTAGACGATGCAGTGCACCGATTGCTACCAGAAAATATCGATCTCGGTCCCATAATAGAAAAGAATAATTAAACTTCAACGATCATTAAACATTCTACTTTTAATAACTTAATGTACCTGTAATTTGGACTTCTCAATTTTAATACCTTAATTTACTCTTTATTTGGACACCTTCATTAATTTAATATATGCTTGTTATTGTCGCACATAATGACCTTATATAGTACCTACACTTTTGTCCATAACTTCAACAATAGCAATGAACATAATATAATAATTCTACAAAACGATCAGTGGAATAGGCCTAAAGGGGATACCACTTAAAACAAAACGCGCCCATGGCTCTATCTCACGGGTGGTGTGGAAACGAGCTTAAAATCTGAAATATCGGTTCAATAAAAAACTAAAATATGTAAATGCTCTACAGTTTTCTAGTAAGTCCGTTCTGCATCTATCGTAATATTAAATGACCCTGTATGAGGTTTTGTGCATCATACGTAAAACCTCCAAAACCTAATTTAAAAACGATTTATTAAAAAAAAAAAAAATAGCTAACCAATTTCTATTTTTTGGCAGCTTTTATTTTGATTTGTTCATTTTGACCTTTTACAAGCTCAAGTGAGATCACCCTGTAAGTATGATTCTTTTATTTTGTCTCAAAATAATGCAAAGGTACAATTTAATCCAACACAGTGTGTAAAAATATTTAGTTTACGGTATTTCTCTTATTTCGTGATTATTATTTATTACTAAAAATTGATATTTTATAGAATAAACGTTTAATTTTTTTGAAAACTAGCCATAGGATCTAATTTTACCAAAAAGAATTCTGAACGAGGACATCGAGATCTACACTATATCTAATATTGATAAATATTGACAGTGATTTTTTTTAATGACATTTCATGCTATTTTTGTATTGTAAAAATACATACTTTTTCCAAAACAGGTCTGTGAAAGTATGAATCACCCTGTAAGTATCAGTATTTTAATTTTGCTTATTAGCTATATATATTCTCTACATATATCAGTCAGTAACTTCCAAAAATATTTAAAAGGTTTTTGGTGTCCATTTTAAAGAAGTCGGGATTTTCAATTTCAACGCCCTGTATGTCAAAATCTAGCCATAGGATAGGATTGGGTCCATGGAGACTTTTAATCAGGACATCAAGGACTATAACATATAAAAAATTCAGACAATTTGACGGTGCTTCCGTTTGCATAAGAAAAGTGCGGGGTCCTTTGTATACCTCAAAATAACAACCTATATCAAATTAAAAATATTTATATTCGAAATGAGCAGATAATTTTAAGCCACCTCGATGACATTTAACTCGCCTTATTATGTTCCCATACCCATAACTATAATTGCTTGAATTTGTTCTTATTTATGTTTTTCATTTTAGGACTTTTTAGTGGTGCCATAATGCAGAGTGGAAGTCCCCTTTCATGTGCTGCTTTACAAAAATTTCCAAGGGATGCTGCTTTTTTAATGGCAGCAGCAATAGATGAAAGCTTAAAAACTATGAATTCATCTGAAGAATTATTAACATTTTTGCAAGAAACACCTTTGGACGTTTTAAAAAATGCCTCATTTGTGAAGGTATTCATTTTAAGAGGATTTTATTGAATTGTTATTTTTAAGATTGGTATTTTCATTGGTAAGTAGGGTCCAGTAAAAAACCAAATTGACATTAATTGTTTATTCAGCTATTTCTGTTGTTTAAGTGAAATAAAAGTACAACGTATTCATAAAAAAAAGCTATCAAATATGAATGACGTCTGATGATATATAAAATATCCATGTTAGGGTTACATTAAAAATACATCGCATACTGGCTTAAAGAGCCCGGAACTGCAGCTTATTTACATAGTTGGGATCAAAAACTTTCCTTCCTCCTTGGAGAACATACACTCATTTTATTCTACTAGTGCAAGTTTCCAAAGGTATTCTTTGCTAAATTTGTTCATACAAACACAAATATTTGATCTTCTCTAGTTAAAGTAACCCAGAAGCGTATTTGCCTGTCTTAGTCTCGTAATTTTTCTATATTTTCTCACGAACTCTCTTTCGGTCACTTCTGTATTGTACCACTGATACTTTCGCAAAAACGGCTTAGATCTTATCTGCAAGCTCGTAACCTTCCATCCTGGTGTGTCCCATTTAAGGGTGCCTAAATTTTTTTTCTTATTTTCACTCGGTATCTCACAGGTTTTCTCACTTTTTCTTAATTTCTCTCAGTTTCTCTCAGTTTCTCTCAGTTTCTCTCAGTTTCTCTCAGTTTCTCTCAGTTTCTCTCAGTTTCTCTCAGTTTCTCTCAGTTTCTCTCAGTTTCTCTCAGTTTCTCTCAGTTTCTCTCAGTTTCTCTCAGTTTCTCTCAGTTTCTCTCAGTTTCTCTCAGTTTCTCTCAGTTTCTCTCAGTTTCTCTCAGTTTCTCTCAGTTTCTCTCAGTTTCTCTCAGTTTCTCTCAGTTTCTCTCAGTTTCTCTCAGTTTCTCTCAGTTTCTCTCAGTTTCTCTCAGTTTCTCTCAGTTTCTCTCAGTTTCTCTCAGTTTCTCTCAGTTTCTCTCAGTTTCTCTCAGTTTCTCTCAGTTTCTCTCAGTTTCTCTCAGTTTCTCTCAGTTTCTCTCAGTTTCTCTCAGTTTCTCTCAGTTTCTCTAGTTTCTCTCAGTTTCTCTCAGTTTCTCTCAGTTTCTCTCAGTTTCTCTCAGTTTCTCTCAGTTTCTCTCAGTTTCTCTCAGTTTCTCTCAGTTTCTCTCCTCAGTTTCTCTCAGTTTCTCTCAGTTTCTCTCAGTTTCTCTCAGTTTCTCTCAGTTTCTCTCAGTTTCTCTCAGTTTCTCTCAGTTTCTCTCAGTTTCTCTCAGTTTCTCTCAGTTTCTCTCAGTTTCTCTCAGTTTCTCTCAGTTTCTCTTAGTTTCTCTCAGTTTCTCTCAGTTTCTCTCAGTTTCTTCTCAGTTTC